CTATGATTCTATGATTCTATGATTCTATGAAAAGAAAACCCTATAAAATTCATGGGGTTGCCATAGGTCAACAGGCAGTTTGAAGACACATACACGCACACATACACACTCCCTCTATACACTATGTACACATTTTTAAAAGATGTTCTCACTTAAGGGATCTCATACTGAAGATGAAATAAGTTTGTTTTCTCCAGTTCCAGAGAATAGGTTCCAGAACTATAGGAAAAAAGATTCCACCTCATCATTAGGAAAATGTCTTGATCAAACAACATAAAATAAACAAAAGTAAAGGGATATGAATATAAAATCAAGACATTTGCTGATTATATGGTGGTGACATTGGAAGACCCTGTTAACAACAAAGAACAACTGATGAAAGAAAGGAACCTATTTGGAAAATATTTAGGCTTTAAAATTAACAAAAAGAAAATATGTATATTAACTAAAAATATGAACACAAAAGAAGAAGAATTACTAGCTAGGAAATCAGGATTTAAAATCAGGAAAAATTAAAATATTTAGGCATTTGACTGACATCCAATAACATCAACCTCTATGAAAATAATTATAAAAAGACCTGGGAGGAAATACAAGAGGATTTACAAAATGGAATAAATTAGAGCTATCAACACTAGGCAGGATCTCAGTTATTAAAATGATGATTCTACCAAAAATCATGTTTCTACTATTAAATTTCCCAAAAATAAATGATAAGAAGATCTTTTCAAGTTGGAATACAGAGTTAAGAAAATCTGTCTCGAAGGGTAGAAAATTGAGATCTAAAAGACAACAAAGAGAAAGGAGGATATGCACTACCAGACTTGAAGTTATATGCATGGGCATGCAGCTTTTTATGGCTTCAGGATTGGATTAAACTGTGCAATAAACACATGTTAAATCTAGAAGGAGCAGATCTAAGGTATAAATGGCATGTGTACCTATGGTACCAAAAATGCTAAATAGAGACTTCAATAACCATCCAAACTTGATAAAAATTTGGATTCAGATAAAGAGAAAATTCTACAACAAAATTCCACAATGGATCTCAACACAAGAAGCCTTTTTTGGGAAATGGAGCAGTGACCAAAAATGGATGAATACAAGGAATTAGTGGAAAAAGACAGGCAAGGTGCAACTGAAACAAAGAGAAGGACTAACCAAGGAAAACATAACATTGCACTAGTTCAACTATTTACAAATTAAAAGAAAATATGAAGAAGGCATAAGGAATGAAGGGTTAGAAGAACAGCAAAATGAATTAGACAACTGTTATGGAAAACAGAAAAGAAAAAAAGTACAAAATATTTCTAGAAAGAGAATTGGAGAGACAAACAGTTAAAGAATATATGATCAGGTGGGTGCAAGCCATAGGCCACCCCATTGCTTTGGAAAATTGGGAGAAAGCCTGGAAAAGAACACATGAATTCTCTGCATCCCAGGATCTGAAACAAAATTTCCTGAAAATCTCAAACAGGTGGTATTATACTCCACAAAAAATGATATACAAATTGATAAATGCTTGAGATGTCAAGAGAGGAAAGGCATGCTATGTGGTGGTCATGCAATTTTTTTAAAAAAAATTCTGGAGGAAAGTACACAGGATAACTAAAAAATATTTAAAATACAATTTCACATGGTACCAGGATTTTATTTATTAAATATGATATTGACTTTGAAACCCCAAGAGGAACCAAAGCACTGGAGGGTGATGCTATATATAACAACAGATGCAAGACTGATAATTGCAAAAAAAAATGAAAAAAACAAAGAGGTGCCATCAATAGAAGATTGGCTACATAAAATAAATGAACTCAGAGAAACAGACTTGCATATTTGATTAAAAACAAATATATGAAGAAACACGAAGGGGAATGGTCACCCATCTTAAAATACTGGAATAAATGGGGAGTCAATAAGGAACTATTAAGGCATTAGACTATCAAACAAAACTCTATGATTCAAAAGAAAGAAAGAAAGAAAGAAAGAAAGAACCATTAGATTAAGAGAAAGTGGAGGAAAATCAGGGAATAAATATTATCATACATATAGAAAACTGAATCTAAGAAAAAGAGACTGTTGATCTTAATGAGAAACAAGAGATACAGGAACATACGAAAAGATGGTTTACTATAGGCAATAAGAAGGAACTAAAAAGTTGCAGAGATAAATCTGTATTTAAGAATTGTACATTTGGAAGTGATTAGGAGAAATATATTGATTGTAAAGAATACAAAGAAATGAATATATTGAAGCAAGTAAGTTGTATTAATAGAATAAAATCAATAAAAAAGGAAAAACGTCTTGACAGTAAGAACTGTTCGATAGTGGAATACGCTGCCTCAGAGTGTGTGGAATCTCCTTCTTTAGAGGTTTTTAAATAGAGGCTGGATGGGCATCTATCAGGGCTGCTCTGATTCCTGCATGAGAGCAGGTTAGAATATTCCAACTCAATGATTCTGTGATTCTGTGGCTGCCAGCTAGAGTAGACCCATTGAATTTATTACTGAATAATGAATCCACACATAAGTAAATCCCATTGACTCAACAGATTTCCTCTAGTTTGGATTAACAACAGGATTTGGGCCGACCATGTTCTCCCTAATCTTGATGTGCAGTAAATCTCTTACAAGTAGAAATCCAAAAAATAAAACAAAACAAAA